GATGAATATCCCTTTTAATTAGTACATGTATTTACTAAATATAGAAACTTGAAAGATATAAAACCATTCTTTGTTGATCTAAATGTAAATATGTGTGTTTACTGATGAAATCAGCCAGTAAAACAATAACATCAGGTCGTACCATATCAGTGTATATTTCCATGCCATATCAGTGAGAACGTAATTACTAATCCTTTCTGCTTACACATTGCAGTATATGCACTATGGGCCTGCGGCCTTTCAGTATGGAGAATAAGAAAGGACTTATGAAACCATCCGACATGATGGGAAAATATATTTTGGGGAATTCTGGGGAACAAATACAATCCTGCTAACAAAATACATAGCGTCAAAGGCAAAACAGCAGGTGAGGCATATACTAGTATGTCGTGAATGCTTTACTGCAGGTAGAAAACAACAATGTTTAACAAGAGAATAATATGACATAGCATAATGTTGTTTCACATGTACAACACGCCCTAAGCGATGACTGGTGCCAACTGCCGATAAGGAGCATACATGCACTAACAAGAGAACAGATGTTTTTGTCTCCTCTTCTTATGCATTTCTCGGAGGTTTTCCATACGTTCGATAAGGACCTTATTGTCAGATTGGTACTTTGTGTAGACGGATTGGTCTGGACAAGCAATAAGACAAATTTCCTTGCGTTTCTTTGCGCACTCTTCTGTGAATAGTTTGCAGTCTTGAACTGTAATTGTGTCTTTGACAGCAGCAGCAAGGAAAGCTTTGATCCGCAATTCTAGTTCTTGCCACTTGGCCGCAGCTTCGTTGAACTTTGGAGCCTTCTCGTCGTACCATGTTCCGATAGCCTTCTCTACTGCGCGTACCACACCAAAGAAGATGACGATGGCAAGTCCAGTTCCAATCAAATATAGTAAGAACTCGGAATCTAAAATGTGTGACTGGGTGTAGGGCTTAACAAAATGCTCAATTACAGGACCAGAAAGCGATGATGTCACACCAAATGCTACTGCTCCAACACATCTGATATAGAAGCCATTATGCTCATATTTACTCGATGAGGCGTAACACATACGAGCTGCCTTCATACATCTCACCTCAATATCTCTGAGGTTCATCAAACTTCTCTCTATAGCAGTGTTTTCATCTTTAGCTGGACTGTTGTAAGAATCATCACTGTAAAATAAACGATCATTCTGAACAGATCAAAAGCAATTATGTGTACATTGCACACAAAAAAGTAATAATGTTGTATCAACATGCAATAATAAGGCTTTTGAAATGAAAATCGAAACATGAGGGTCCGTGTTGAATGAGTGTTTGAACACTTGGGGCGGGGAAAAACATAAATGTTTTCTGTTTAAAAACGGTCGATTGAAACAATAGCTGTGACATATTTCGTAGGTATTGTAAGTTAAAATAGTAACTCTTGTTACGTTTGTTCAACACAAAATGTGATGTAAATACGCAATGAAAGACACATTTCATAGGTCAACCTTTGGGTTAGGTAACACATATGTCCTTCACATCATGGTGCATGTCAATACTCAGTCCGATTGTGGTTGACATTTATGATAAAAATGAAATGGCGAAATTATACCGTGTAAATAGGCGTGAACAACTACAGAACACATGATACAAAATACGAATACTCGAATGAAAATACATGAATATTTCTTAACAGACACATTTACACAGGTAGGTTTGTTTGTTTCTTGCCATATGAGCACCGTATGTAAGTAATCGAGTCTCGACCAGATTGTCAGTGACCAGACAATCATTGGCCCTTGTACACATGCTCGCACACGCACACACGCACACGCACACGAACGCATGCACACACACATACACATGCATTGATATGAGTGTCAAGATCACATGTGGTTGAGCTGTATATACGTTGGATGTTTCTTATAGTGTGGTTGAACTGTATGTGTCGGTTGAGTGAGTGTACGTGCAGTTGGGCTGTGTGCGAAGTGAGATTGCACGTGAAAAGCAGGCAGTTTCCGCGACTTAGTCATAAAAGTGGACGGTTTGATGTGACGGGTGCAGTCGTGATATGATAGAGCGGAGCGACGGTGTGAAAGCTGAGCCAGGAAAATTATCATGGCGTGAGTAAATTTTGCATTTAATTATGGAAATTGTTAGATTGTATTTTTATGTCCATAATGTTGAATTGAATAGCACAGTGTCGGTCATAGGTTGATATTTAAACATCACTCAGGCGAAATGTAAACATGGCAATTGTTGGTCACTGTAGTGAGTATGTATAGGCATAATCACTTGTCTGTGTTGAATAACACGTGTATGTTATTCTAAGTGTAATTATGCTGACATTGCTCTGTGTATTATCATTCTGAGTATTTAATACTCTGTATTGTGTTGAATGATTGTGTATTGAGTATATTACACTCGAGTAGTAAGTGTGTATAATCATTCGAATTGTGAATTGAATGATTAGTGTACATTGAGTATGTGACGCTCAAGACGTAAACAATTGTGTGTAACAAGTACTTTGTCTTTGTGTAGTGTCGGGGCCGTATTGGCTTGACGGCCTGTGTGCTGGCTAGTTGAGTGTGGCGGGTCAACTCCAAGTATGCTGACCAGCTAAGCGATGCCTCTCACCAGTGCCTCTCACCAGTGTTGTGACCGGACGTTGTCCAGTGCCAAGTATGGAGGGCAGGGTAGCCTCAAGGTATTGCCGGTTGAGTGTGGCGGGTCAACTCCAAGTATGCTGACCAGCTAAGCGATGCCTCTCACCAGTGCCTCTCACCAGTGTTGTGACCGGACGTTGTCCAGTGACAAGTATGGAGGGCAGGGTAGCCTCAGGGTATCGTCAGACAGGGTGTGACCGTGTTCGTGAGGACGTGAACTGTACATACCATTAATCTGTGCAACCTCCTGTATAGGAGCCGATCGTCAAATAGATATGGACTGGAATATTACATTTTTGTAAATGTTTCATTTGTATGCCTATATTTGATTTGTGTATTGTGTATAGGAGTATGAGTGTATTGGGTACCGCTGGTGTAATGGAGTACTGAGTGTGTATTTGAGTGATGTACTGAAGGTGTATTTGAGTGATATATGACTGAGATGTTTGGATGAATGTATTTGAGGTGAGAAAGGGGTGTGCAAGCTGAATATTTTAACTTTTCTTGATTTTCCATTTCATTTTGTTTTGAAATAAATTATATTTATTTCAACACCACCTTTGTTTTATCTCGCATTGTGACAATGAGGCAGTGTTATGCATTGTGCAAGAATGATCCAACTGTAATTTTGTAGAATCTGGCAGTGGTGCTGTTTAGATCTATAGCCAGAGTGATCTGGAAAGGGATACTAAGAGTATCATTTCCAGAATCACAGCCTTTGAATTTTCTTATTTTTTTCTTATGTATATTAGGAGTTAATTCTTGCCTCTAATATCCCATTACAAGCAGTTAGAAGACCAGCATATAGTGTGACCACTATAACCTGGGATACCCTGCCTGGACAGAATTTCAGAATAACCTACCTACCTACCTACCTATCTACCCCCAGCCGCCCCCAGCCACACATCCACACCCAAACCAACACACACCTCCTAGCATCCATATCCGCCGAATCAGATTGAACGCAGTGGAGATTTATTGCAGGGCTTGATCCACCTCATGAATGCATATACCCAGAAGTGATTAACGTCACAAATGGCAGTCTACCAAAATGTTACATGTCACATGAGAGAGATAACCTATCGATCGAAGAAGAATGTACCCAGGGGTAAATTCTGGCACTTTGCCAAAGTATGTACACTGCATAGGTGTGGTAGCTCCCTGTCTCACTTCAATTAAACACTGCCTACCTACCTCTCTCCCCCAGCCACACCCAAACCAATAACCCCATGCCCCTACCCCCCACACATTAATACATGCATGCGCGCACACACACATACACACACACACTAGTACATACATACATACATCCATCTCAGCGTCCATATCAATTTACAGACGAAGGTTTGTTTGTTTGATTGTTTGATTGCAGCTAACTTGTATCCCTTTCCAGATCAGTCTGTCTATAGGTCTTACTAAAAACTGCACAGGTCATTCAAAACCTCAAAGATAAAGCTTCAGAAATTATGCTAAATCGGGTGAATTATACAATGAATGTGTTCTCACTAAATCCTGTCCACAGAACTTCCTCATTTTTTTTCTTAAGCGCGCCATCGATGTCAGCAGCCTAATTGTGAGTGAGTGAGTGAGCTTAGTTTTACGCCGCACTCCGCAATATCCCAGCTATATGGCGGCGGTCTGTAAATAATCGAGTCTGGACCAGACAATCCAGTGATCAACAGCATGCGCATCGATCTGCGCAATTGGGAACCGATGACATGTGTCAACCAAGTCAGCGAAACTTACCACCCGATCCCGTTAGTCTCCTCTTACGACAAGAATAGTCGCCTTTTATGGCAAGCACATGGGTTGCTGAAGACCTATTCTCCCCCGGATCTTCACGGGTAACCCTAGATGTAGACCATGGGGCGCCATACTGACCCATTAGTTTAAACATAACAGAAGCTTGTCTAACAATAAAAACAACGCACGCACGCACGCACGCACGCACGCACGCACGCACGCACGCACGCACACGCACACGCACACACACACACACACACACACACACACACACACACACACACACACACACACACACACACACACACGTCATCAGTTTACAAAGGAAGGTAGGTTTGTTGGCTTGATTGCAAGTAAATGAGCACCGTCTATAAGTAAGAGTCTCGATCAGACAACCAGTAACCAGACGATCATTTGCTCGCTCTCTCTCTGTCTCTCTGTCTCTCTCTCTCTCTCTCTCTGTCTCTGTCTCTGTCTCTCTCTCTCACACACACACTCACACATTGATATGAGCCAGTGTTATGCATTTTGCAAGAACGATTGATTCAACCGTCTATGGCTGTAAACCCCCACCCACCCCCCAACACACACACATACACACACACACACATGCATACATACCTGTTAGCGTCCATAACTGCCTAATCAGGTTGAACGGAGAGGAGATGTATTTCAGGGCTTGCAATCGATATACCCAGAATTGCTCTGACGTCAAAACTGGCAGTCTGCCAAAATGTTTACATGAGCGAGAGAACTCATCGGTCGGCGAAGCTGCATAGATGTGGTAGCTCACTGCCTCGTAGTGCAGGGGCTTATGTAGCAAAAATGCTTCCCGTGGGATGTGCATGTTAATTTTCTGCACCACTAAGAATTCTTATCAGTATTGCATATAGATTCAGAAAAATCATGGTTCCATTTTTTCTGATGATTTTAAGTGTCATTCTGGGGTAACTGGACATCGGTACCCATAATCGAGCTGCAACAACAATCTGAGAAAAACATATTTGTATACACCTATCACAACATAGGCATGTAGTATGTCAAAATGTACCTTGTGGTGGGTGTTTTACAACTACCATTATATATCATGAATCTCAATAATAGATGTATGCATAATAATCACTATGCTCATAAGTGCTTCTGCCAAAACCGAAGGTACCGAAGTACACTCTTCAAAAAAGGAAACGCAAAAGCAAAATATCATTGAAAAATTCGGTGTTATTCAATTATGTAAATCAACGAAAATAAACGGCACAGCATTGAAATTATGTAGAGCAACACATTGGTAACTCGTGCACATTTCACAAGAATGACAGTCATCATGGTCATTACTGCTGTTTACGAGGTGACGTTGACGTTACTGCCTTGTATGGCCACCTCTTACTGCTAGAACTGCACGACACCCCCTTGACACAGATTGAATCAGTTGTTGGATGTTTCGTTGTGGAATCCTCCATTCCTCCTGCAGCATGTTGAACAACAGTTACTGTTAAAGCCTCAATGGCGGATTACGATGTTGACGTACACGTTTATCTATCTGATCCCACATGTAATCAATTGGTTTCAGATCCGGGGATCTGGGGGGCCAGGGGAGGACATTGATTTTGTTATTGTCCAGGTAGTCCACTGTAGATCGTGCTGTGTGAGGTCTGGCGTTGTCCTGGTGGTACAGCTACCTTTGGCGGTCGACAAGACCATGCACGTGAGGACAGAGAATCCGGTCGGTATATCTCGCGGCCGTAAGATTGCCTAGGACGAGCATCAGTTCCAATCTGCTGGTGTATGAGATGGCTCCCCACATCATCACACCATCTCCACCAAATCTGTCCACTTGCCTGATGCAGTTGGATGCAAAACGTTCATTGCGTGGTCTTTAGACACGTTGTCTTCCGTCACGTCGCTTGAGGGGATACCGCGATTCATCGTTGAACCATATGTGCCTCCAGTTTCCAAGGCTCCATGGCTGCACCGCCTTACACCACCTGACTCACGGACGTTGATGTAATCGTGTTAGAGAGGGGGCAACTTGTGGACGTCTGGCACGCATACGTACCCTTCGGAGACGGTTCCTGATTGTCTGGTCGGACATTCTCCGGGCTCCAAACCGTTCTTGTGCTGTGTCCCGGGCGGAATGATGGCAGTCACGTAGGTCAGATACCATAGGAAGGACACGAGTTTCGTATAATTCGTATGTAATGAGACCTCGTATAGTATTCTCTATAAATGTTATGAGAGGTTTTTCATATCGGTCTGTCTGAACGTTCATAGCTGTGTGAGATGAATTTGGAATATGTCATTATACGACTGATGACGCCTTTTGCTCCCGTTAACATAACCCAACATGTTAACAGAAGCCTACATAAGTTTTAAATGGAAGTCCTCCAGATATATTGTGATCAAACTAGTATCGTTTTTAACAAGATCAATAGTACCCTTTCCGACTGTAAACAGGCATGCTTTTCTACAAATAAAGTAATTCTTCGCAGAATGAAATCCCATTTAACGTTTTCAGCCAATTATCTTGCAGTACACACTTTGCGTTTATAAAGCATGAATGTACACGCAACAGTTAGTTATGAGATATTGCTGAACGCTTATCTAGAGTTATTTCTATGACCTCTGACTTACCAAACTCAGCACCAACGGTGGCCACCTTTCTGACATGCCCTTTCCCTTCATGGCCAGTGATGTTTACTGTCTTATCTGTTTAAGCAACAGAAACAAATGTCAACCTCAATGCTTTAAGGGTATTCGTATTTCAAGAGACTAAATCCAACTAGGGTCCATGCAGGTAGCAAAAGCACTGTAAGTCCCCATGGTCCCTAGTATTGTGATCTACCTTCAGTTGTTGGCGATCACTAGCCCATTTTTACATTGTATTGTCTCAAATAGTTTCCTACTTTTAAAAATAATACTAGCTAGTTTTAACTCTTTTTTGTGATACTCTAGTTATTTTACAGTCCGTCGATGACTGGGTATTTAATTACTTCTATTTATTGTGTATGTACAACATTTCTCGTCACTATATGGCTGACATATTGCCGGGGTGACGTTAAAGTTGAACTCACTCACTCAGTTGAACGAATCCCTGAAAATTATTCCACAGGCATAATTTTCGGATATTCATGCTAAGAAATCTTATATAAATGACTAGGATTTTTAGATTTTTGTAGAGATACCGAAAATTCCCTAACAGGATATTTACGGTTCAGACTATATTAAAAAGTGACTCGCTACATCTGTTGCTGAAAGCTGTCTCTTCTCTTATCCCACCCTCCCACACACATTAATATCAAGTGGTCAGTCCTTCATGAAATCATGGGGTTGGTGGGGTAGCTTAGTTGCTAAGGCGTTGGTTCGTCACACTGAAAGCCCGGGTTCGATTCCCTACATGGGTACAATGTGTGAAGCCCATTTCTAGTGTCCCCAGCCATGATATTGCTGAAATATTGATAAAAGCGGCGTAAAACTAAAGCCACTCACTCACTCAACAGTGTTTGGATAAATGTTCATGTACAGGTTAATGACACATATTCACAGTTTGTCCTATTAAAACCAACGGGTTGAAAGAACCAGGGATATACACTATTCAATACTAGACAGTGTTTTTACTCATAAAAACAGATGTCTCCCCCTTCCCGTAATTCAACGTAGAGAGGAAGTTCATGGTGTTTTATAGTAGTACATGTATATGGTTGATGCTTCTAAGCTACTGATAATTGGTATTAAGTATACAAAATCTGGTGGAGGTGGGTGAAATTGTTTTAGAGTTATGCTCCAACCACAAACCCTAACCTTCAAAAATTTGTTGCCATTGACACAGAAAAAAATAAAATTGAAAGAAAACTCTCTCACACATGAAATCATGCGAGTTGAGACATTTAAAAATCGTCCCCGCATATTAATGCAATTTCGCCTGATGACGCTGTCTTCAGTGCGTGGCTAAATACTACACTTACAAGCTAGCGTTGTTCAGTGTTTATTGAAGGACTCATGGGTCTGTGTTACTGTGTAACTTTAAATCAGTTCTGATTCCTCTCGAGGAAATAGTCTGAGCGGGTCCGATAGCAGCGGGAGTGAATCATATATATCATATATAGGACAACCTAATCGCAGTTTGCAGGCAGGCAGGCAGGCAGGCAGGTTTATTCGGTAATTTAGGCCCAATGCCCAGAACACATACATTGGCAAAATTAAATACATACTGAGTAAAGCTGAGTATAGTTTAGTATTAATTAGTGTTTGTATGACGACCACATTCCACTGCGAGTCTGAAGCTACAGCACCGAAACTGGGTTGTACTTTTACGTTGATTTGGTAGCAGGTAACTGGTTAAATATGGTACGACGCTGACAGATGATTTAAATTGTGAATAGTAATTACATTGGGTGGACGAAAATAGTGATGCGTGTCAGTGTTGAGTGAAGCAGTCATAAAATGAACTAGATTGGCATGCACACGTAATAAGGCAGTGACTGCATTTCCCCGAGAAGTCGAAGTTTCCAGGAAAATGTGAGACGGCATTATAAATAGCCCCATTGTTGTGATGGGCGTGTCACAGTTGGCTGTATCTAACAACTGTAGGCTCAACTAACATTCACGTAATCTGGGACATCAATACCGTTGTTATATCATCAACAGATAAGGCCGTTTCCCTATCACAATTAGTGTATTTGCTGGGACATTGCCAAGACTTGACTATATAGCACATACGCCTTCTGTGTTCAGGTATGAGAAAACACATAGTATTACTGTGTTCAGGTATTAGAAAACACATGGTATTTCTGTGTTCAGGTATTAGAAAATACATAGTATTACTGTGTTCAGGTATGAGAAACCACATAGTATTACTGTGTTCAGGTATTAGAAAACACATAGTATTACTGTGTTCAGGTATTAGAAAATACATAGTATTACTGTGTTCAGGTATCAGAAACCACATAGTATTACTGTGTTTAGGTATCAGAAAACACATAGTATTACTGTGTTCAGGTATTCGAAAACACATAGTATTACTGTGATCAGGTATTAGAAAACACATAGTATTACTGTGTTCAGGTATTACAAAACACATAGTATTACTGTGTTCAGATATTAGAAAACACATAGTATTACTGTGTTCAGGTATCAGAAAACACATAGTATTACTGTGTTCAGGTATCAGAAAACACATAGTATTACTGTGTTCAGGTATCAGAAAACACATAGTATTACTGTGTTCAGGTGTCAGAAAACACATAGTATTACTGTGTTCAGGTATTAGAAAACACATAGTATTACTGTGTTCAGGTATTACAAAACACATAGTATTACTGTGTTCATATATTAGAAAACACTTAGTATTACTGTGTTCATATATTAGAAAACACTTAGTATTACTGTGTTCATATATTAGAAAACACATAGTATTACTGTGTTCAGGTATTAGAAAACACATAGTATTACTGTGTTCAGGTATTACAAAACACATAGTATTACTGTGTTCATATATTAGAAAACACTTAGTATTACTGTGTTCATATATTAGAAAATGCATAGTATTACTGTGTTCAGGTGTCAGAAAACACATAGTATTACTGTGTTCAGGTATTAGAAAACACATAGTATTACTAACAGTAACTGTTACCATTTCCTAAATTTCGTTTAATGTTGCGGTCACTATTATGGCAGTATAATAGTGATGCCTGTGCATG